CTCTCTCCTCCCTCATACACAGCAAGAAACTATTGTTGGCCTTATCTCTATGTTTTTGTTATAAGAGAGATGTATAGCAATAATAGGAAGGAACAAGGGTTTTGCTAGGTGAAGATAAGGATAGCTAATTACGGGCATTTGACTCACAATTCGATTCCTGTGCGTGGGTGTTCTTCTATGGTATTCTTTTGATCATACCTTTTCATCTAGTACCATGTTCCCCTTTTCCTATGGTCTCAGTTGCTTTTAAGGTTCTGCTTTAGTTTCCTCGCGTTAAGGGCAACAAATCTAGCTAAGTTTTTTAGGTGTCTTACCTCTCCTCACCCTTCCTTGTGTGCTCTCGCTTTTATCATGTGCTCAATAGTCCATCCCTTGTTGTGTTGCCCTTGATCTAATGCCACATATGAGGGAGAACATATTTTTTGGTCTTTTGAGCCAGGCTAACCTCACTCAGAATGATGTATCTCAATTCCATCCATTTACCAGCGAATGATAAATTTCGTTTCTTCTTCTGGCTGCATAAAATTCCATTGTGTATAGATACCATTTTCTTAATCATTCGTGCTGTGGTGGGCATCTTGGCTGTTTCATACTTGGCTATTGTGAATAGTGCCGCAATAACATGGATGTGCAGGTGCCTCTGGGTAACAGTCTTTTGGGTATATCCCCAAGAGTGGTATTGCTGGATCAAAGGTAGACTGCTGTCCAGCTTTTTAAGTAGCCTCCAAATTTTTTTTCCAGAGTGGTTTACTAGTCTACATTCCCCCACCAACATGTAAGAGGTTCCTTTTCCCCGCATCCTCGCAACACCTGTTGTTGGTGGTGTTGCTTGATGGGCTATTCTAACAGGGGTTGAGGTGGAATCTTAGGTGGTTTTAATTTGCATTTCCTTTATTGCTAGAGATGGTGAGCATTTTTCATGTGTTTTTTGGCCATTTGAATTTCTTCTTTTGAGAAAGTTCTGTTTAGTTCACTGCCCATTTCTTTATTGGTTCATTAGTTTTGGGAGAATTTAGTTTTTTAAGTTCCCTGTATATTCTGGTTATCAGTCCTTTGTCTGATGTATAGTTGGCAAATATTTTCTCCCACTCTGTGGGTGTTCCCTTCAGTTTAGAGACCATTTCTTTTGATGAACAGAAGCTTTTTAGTTTTATGAGG